AAAAAAAAAAAAAAAAAAACACGAATGAGGAAACAGCTTGAACTTGTTTCAAGGAACATTTTAAGGTGTTACAGGTAAACATTCCTGCAGTCAGATCTTAACTTGTCCTGATGAGAGTATTATAACTTTATTGTTCTGCCATTTTCTTGTCTCAGTTTGGTTTTCAGAGTTAGGTTTGAAGGGGGAAAAACAAATACAGTTTGCAGGGTTGCAAAAAGTCTAACTTCAAACGTTCTTTACTGAGTTAATCGGCTACAAAGTGACTGAAGAAAAAGAGCTGAAAATAAGAACTGCTCAAAATGTCAAAGTTCCATGGAAAGATGCTGGAGGGCCCGCTTTCATATCTCCCTTAACCTCAAAAACACAGGACCTTTCTTTATTAAACCTGAAGTATATTGCTTTCTTCAGCAATATTTGACAGACGCCGTGGAGTTCAGAGGTCTCTGGCTGACGTCATATGATTGCGTAGCTGGATGCAAGTTCAGTCAGCTTCCCCAAGGGCTGTAGTTATCCTTATTTAACTTCTTGTAATTTCTTCTTTCCATGATCTCATGACTTTTTCCACTGAGATCAAGAAACAGCTATTAAGAATGTCACAAAGGACATTCATTTTCTAGTCTATTCAAAACCAGACGCGGCGGCTTCCTGGGCCAGACACACACATTCTGCAGCCGACCACCATTATCAGCTGGGGGGTATTAATAACTCTTTATGTTCCATTTTTTTCCAGGAAGAAGGAAGCGGGACAAAATGACCTTTCATTGTTCCATTTCCAGGAAGTGACCCTAAGGCCCCAAGAGTACCACCTTGGCCAGTATATGAGGCCCTTGGCCCCCAAAGGGCCTACTGCAGCAACTCTTATGAACTATTCCCAGTACCAGGCAATCCAAGCTGACCTCGGGGGTCACAAATAGAGCACATGGCAGCAAATCACCTGAGAAGTTTCCATTGTAACAGTGATCAGAAAGCTTTTTGCTTAGTCCCTTAACTCCCCCCCAGTTCCCGGTTATAGCTTTTCCACTCAACCACATTTTATTAGTCTCGTTTAATTCTAGAGAGTGTTTATGAGTAGTGCTTCCTCGGGGTAAGACAGCGTTCTATCCTTAATTTTGCAGAAAATGGTGAAGTCTTTTAAAAAAACTGGCAGGGAAACCCATCATTCTTTATACTGCTGGATAGCACCACCTTATTTTAAACGTACCATTTAAAAAATAACTAGATTTTTAAAGAACTTAAAATGAAATCGGTTCAGTGTTCAGGAATGAGGTTTTGCTTATACTAGGTGTAACACTGTGTGCAAGCTGTAGACAGGAAGTAACATGCGGCCTGCTCTCGCTTCTATATATACACACACATATATTTGATACATGCATCTGTTTTCGTAGAGAGAGAGAAAGAGATTCTGTATGCGAATGATGCGAAGCAGGAAGTAATACTGCTTTTCTCTAACCATTGCAGGTGAAGTGAATGGAGAGAAGGGGGGTAGGGGTTAAGATAGAGAATGTAAGTAAACACTGAAGTAAAGTCTCTTGGAAGATACTTCAAATGTGCTGGAGGACTACCCCTCTAAAAACAGCCATTAACTTGTACTGTAAACATGGAAGTCAGACTCACACAGCTGGATAGCAAATTCAAATGTTTATTTACAGCCTTTGTAATAGTCACTGAGAAGAGTGGTCTAAATACAAAAATAACAGGAAAAAAAAAC